GGGGGGGGGGGGGGGGGGGGGGGGGAGAGTCCAGTCTGTGAGTCAAATTTAGCAAGATTTATGGATATTTAACTTAGTGGTATAGGGTTCAAGTTTTAGTAGGATTTCAGCAGCATCAACAATTTTAATGTATCAACATTTTTAATGTAGCAGGATTTTCCCAAGGGACATTAGTAAGATAGTTCAGCTTGGGAGTTGAAGGAGGAGAAGAGAGTTGGGTTGGGGAGTTGAGTTATAAGGAGTCTTGATGAAGGAGGTTGAGTTAGGGAGACAGAGTTGAGAGGTCTAGAGATAAAGAGGAGAGTTAGAAAGTAAGAGTAAAAGTGAGAATTAGGAAGTTAGTAATATTATTTTTAGTTTAAGCTGTAATTTGTTGATCTGTGTAGTTTGACAGTTTATAGTTGGAGATAAGTTTGGAGTGGAGAGATTGAGTTCACAATGGTGAACACTTGTGTTTTATGAAGGATTAAAATGCAAATATCGCGTAAATACATATGTACTTATTTTGCTGTTCAATTAATTTGAACTGGAGGCAGCCATAGCACTTCAGTAATACACAAGAGAATGTGACACTGGTGGCCATCAGTGGAGTTTGGATTACTTAAACCTAGTGTCCACTTTAATGTGTTGTTTGGGTCTGCTCAACACAAAAACTAGGAAAGCAGGGATATTTTTTTTGAGTGTGTTTATTCTACATGAATAAAAAAATATATATTTGGTGCCATTCCTACTTTATTAAAACAATAGAATATTTCTAACATTCACAGATGAAATCAGGAGATTTTCTTCACAAGAAAAATAAAATAAAAAAGCAAAATAAAATGTTTTTCCTACCTACCTACCTACTCATTTTTTTTCGGAGCCAAAACATGAAACACATGTACATTATCTTTATTTGGCATAAAGTAACTTCCTTCTCTGTGTATTTTCGGCAATAACAATGGCAACAGTGAAAATTATTTCCTGTTTGAGGCCACATTCAATTATTTTTTCTGTCATAACTCTGATTTGGAATGGAGCATAGTTAAACAACTCTCAAATTTATAATTTTGACTGATACTTAATTTTTATTGATACTTGTACACATTATATTGTATTGTTTATTAGGTTTTAGCCTTGCGGCTCATAGGCATATTATTACAACATTGATAAAGACGTGCCAAAAAGGGACATATTTAAAATAAGGTAGCTAACCATTTCAGTATAACTTGATCATGACCGTACACGCGTATTGTAACACATAAACACATAACATGTTACCAGTGAGTATCTTCAAAATTAAAACAGCAAAATAACTGTTGTAATAATAGTTATGATCAAATTTAAAGTGCACTAAGTATTGCATTTTAAATTACATAGATCTACATAAACTTTATCTGCCAATGAAAAATTATCAATAAAAAAAAGATATGAACAAGAAAACAGTTACATTTATATAATTTGAACATTTTTTTATTTGAATATATTTCTTGGGGGTTTTCTTCACAATTCCATTTTTTTTTTTAGTTACTTTTAGTTCCAAAATATGACATTATTTCAAATACTCACAACAAATGGAATGTTTTTAGTGATACATATATCACAGTGTACATATTTTTTTCCCCAATTTAAAATTTACCACTTTCCTAGTATTCTCAAATAGAACCTTTTTGTCATTTTCCCAAAATCTTTGAATGAAAAACGTTGTTGTAAAATTACAACAGACAACAAGTTACATAGTACCACGGAATTAGATTAGCTAAGTCCGTCATAGTACAGATATTAAATTTGAACCTCTCTGTTTACCATCACGTACATTATATGTTGAACTAGTAAACTGACAGTATCCAAAACTGTAATCAATAGTTACCTCTGTACGGTGTTCACTATGAAGCTACATGTGCATGTCACGAGTAGTGAGTAAACAACACACATGCAGAATGATAATAAACAAACAGATAAGATTCTTAAAATAAGCTAGTTTTACCAGTTTCTGTCCCAGTCTCACAAAACAGTCAGTCATTCTCCGGTTCCAATTTGAAATCTGCTTTCATGTTGTAATCACATCTGTCCCAGAATAATGACGTTGTACGTCCTGTTTCTATCTCCTCTGTCAGTTTCCGTGTGGGAATGTTGTCGGTTCACCTGTCTCGCCGGTGTATTTAGGACGCTTGTAATCCACGTCAAAGACAATCTAAAACAGGATGCGGATTATGATTCGGATTGCATGCAATCAAAGGGAGGTTATAAACTTATACATATTTATTTTTTACCGAAAGTCGATCTAAACAGAGACGTATATATGTGTTATATACGTCTCTGATCTAAACCCATAAAACGTGTACAATTACTCTGAACACCTTAGTTTTGGTCAAAGTATAGCTGTAACAAGTTTGATCAGGTCCCTGTGATATAACGTACACATGTATCGGATTGCGTTTTGTTCATGAAGGGAACAAGGAAGTTTTTAAATTCTTCCTTCCAAAAAATATTGGACAAATAATCGATTTCATCAGTTAAGGATATATCAGCTAACTTGTATTTCTTATATTGCGGTAGATACGTATACTAGGCCAATATTACCTGAGGTTTCTTCGGCTAACACACCAATTCATGTTCTGCCCATAATTTCGACACTCATATTGATGCTGAGCATTTACATTCCAGGAAAACACTATTACTGAAGTATAATAATAATAATATGTATTCAGCTAAAAGGCAAATAGTGCACGTATATCACGGTTTGCAGATTGCAGATTGGACATAAAATGCATATATTATCACAGATGCTATATATGTATATATGTTATTTATGCCATAAAACTCGTTATCAGTCAGGTGTTAAAACTGGATTGGATTAGATTAATTTAGGGCTTTACCTGGGATGACCCATAAAGCCATATTGTGGCTTAATTCCAATAGGGTCCCTTAGATCTGAATAAATCAATTCCATTCATAAAATAGTTACATCATTTTATGGTATACATTGATAATTTGATAAGACTCTAAGACACCTCTTATATAAAAAATAAAAAAAAAATAGATATGAAATGTTACATGTGCCATAGGCTATAATCAATAAAATAATGCTTTCTTTTTTTTTAATTTATTTTTTTTATTTTCAAAGATTTTCAGAACATGTACATTATACAGAACATCACATCAACACATATCCACACATTCACACATATCTACTATTGAAATTATCAGCAACCTCATCCTCCTCATCATCCTCATCATCTGATGCTGATTTTATACAATCACCAAGACACATTCAATTTTCACACACTTTCACACATAGAATAGACAAAACAAAGAGAGAGAGAGAGAGAGAGAGAGAGAGAGAGATCAGACTGCCAAATCTGAGAAGATACTAAATAAAATAAATAACTGCTGTGAGTATTTGTCAATATTTTGGTTTTTTTAAGTAGAATAACAACTAATAACTTAATATAAATAGTCATAATATTCAGGGTTAGTTGAGGTCAAGCTCTACTAATTTTAACCATTTTTCCCATTCAGAATAAAATAATGCTGGTAATTGAATGATATAGAATATGAAGTGATTAACAATATATTGGAATTTTTAACAATCAAAGATATATAGTATTAACTTCAAATGTTACTTGTCAAAGGGCTGGTGGTTGGGCCAATCCCTACCGACCAAACTCTCAGACATTAACGTACAATAATATAATTGATTGACATGTACTGGTATATAACGTATACTAATACAAATCTAATACCAACGATACATTTAAACCAATTGAATTTAATAAAAAAAAATGTTTGCTTTTTGCAAAAGAGGGGTGTTGGTGGTTGGGCCAGTCCCTACCGACCAAACTCTCTTACTGCCTACAGTCATAGTAAAGGTCCTGAGTTCGACCTCTACAGTAATAGTAAAGGTCCTGAGTTCGACCTCTACAGTCATAGTAAAGGTCCAGAGTTCGACCTCTACAGTAAGAGTAAAGGTCCTGAGTTCGCCCTCTACAGTCATAGTAAAGGCCCCTAGTTCGACCTCTACAGTAAGAGTAAAGGTCCTGAGTTCGACCGCTACAGTAATAGTAAAGGTCCTGAGTTCGCCCTCTACAGTCATAGTAAAGGCCCCTAGTTCGACCTCTACAGTAAGAGTAAAGGTCCTGAGTTCGGCCTCTACAGTCATAGTAAAGGTCCTGAGTTCGACCTCTACAGTCATAGCAAAGGTCCTGAGTTCGACCTCTACAGTTTTACTGTTTATCAAACAAATTGAACTCTAATATATAGTTGCATCACGGACTTAGATTGTCTAATTCTGTGGTTGCATTTAATTGTCCTCTGCATGTACACCCACCCAGAGACGTCTCTGACCCACCATATATATATATATATATATATATAGCACACACACACACACAGAGACACACACACACACACACCACACAGGGACCTGATACTTTTTTTCCAGCTAAAATTGGACCTAAACCTAAGAGCCGATTAAATTCACACGTTTTATGGGTTTATATCAACTTTCGAATGATCTTAGTGTGTGTGTGTGTGTGTGTGTGCGTGTGTGGAGGGGGGGGGGGGGTGTTGATATAAACCACTGAAACGTGTAAAATTACTTGGAACACATTAGTTTAGGTCCAAATAATATATAGTTGTAACACATTCACAGGTCCCTGTGCATATTACACACACATACCTTATAATCACCCAACAGCTGATCTGATAATGGTGGCTCGCTAAGATCTATGTGTGATCACCGCCGGACATCCTTGTTGGTACATGTATCTGTGACAGCGATATGTATTATCTAATTAGCACACATACTTAAAGAGTTTAAAAGAGAAGGAGAAAAGGACCCAGCATGGGTTCATTGAATGACTCCATGTTTAGTGGGAATGGATTCTGATCGTGATATGATCATATCCACACTTTAATGATTAAAGAGTAGCTGAAGGGCAAACGTAACTAAAAGGTTAAATAATGCATTCCTTATGCTTGAACGATCATGTGCCATAAAACTGCATTAAAATCGGTCAATCGATGCTGAAATTAGCTTGTTTTATTTAGAAACCAAGCATTTATTTACATTAACTTATTCACCCCTGAAATTTTACAATGAACTTTTCCATCATTTGAACTAGAATAGTTCAAATGTGTCTTAAGGGGTGAAGTAGTTAACCTGTCTATCAATCTACAGTAAAACCTTTCCAATCCACATGAGTATTCCGATCCTTTCTAAGCCAACATAATGCTGTCATTCTATTTCTTATTAGATAACCAAATGGCACTCCGATACCATCTCCAGGATTGGTCAGATTAGACGGGGTAGACGAGAAATATAAATTGCATGACGTCTTCAGTTTTTTCCCCACACTGAGGTGTTCAGAGTAATATTTACAGGTTTTAGCGGTTAATATCAACTTTCGGTAAAACTTGAATGCCACCCCAATAATGGTTGGGGATGGCAATTTTATCGAAAATTGATATAAATCCCTAAAAACCTGTAATTGTACTCTGTGTCTGTATTCTTAGATGGCAGTAGACCGTTCCTCTTGTCATGCGCAGTTCTTGTCCTGTGGCTTCGAGACACCTTGATGTACCAATGTCTACAAGTCCCTATTATAATATTGAACATCATTTGATGAGTTAGGCCTTCTATTATATTTTTAGAATGATGCATAATAATAAGTACAACACGATTATAAACATATTAAGATGTAGTTTATTTCGTAACAGAAGTATATGTATTTTTATATGAATATACAGGCTAATGTTAATTAAAAAATTAAAGCAGATAACTTTTAATATTGAACAAAATTAACTGTAAGGAAGGTAACTCAAAACAACATATTAGGTAGCGTGGATGGATGGTAAGGGAGACAACCTTAACATGCTAAACACACTGAAGCATTGGCAAGTCAAAATCAGTTATAACTGACACTAATACTCTTAAACATTATAAGGATACAGAATATCTAGTTTATTATCACAGTGATGAATGTCTGCACTAAAATCACAATAAGACTTATCAAACAGAAATTACAACATTACAATTATTTTCATAATATCTAAGTTTTACTATATACACCGATAAACAATACAAATCGCTCACTCAGTCATAGCTTGGACTAATCGGTCTTGAAACGTTGTAACACGTTTATTACGTGCATTGTTTGTGTATAAAGTAAAACCTTGATCTTAGTGATGCTATATTCCATGTTTCATTAGTACGTTAAGCATTTTACACGTCCATCTTGAAATCCAACCCACATATTGTTGTCGAGTACAGCTAGGGTCCAGGGGCTTCCCTGCTCCCTAACAAGGATCCTTAGAGGCCTGCACGTGACGGGGTCAAGGACCTGAACTGTTCCAGTGTAGCCCTCAATGATTACAAGGTTGTCAGTGACGTCAAACTTCACGTCCATGACGTTGAATCTCTCTGTCATGGTGTCGTCTAGTCGATCACCAAGAACGACGTTTTCATGACCAATGCAACGTAGCAACAAGGTAAAGTGGATATCAAATAACATGAGGTGTGACGTCATATCACTTGTTTGGTTGATTACGGCAACAAGTTTCCCGTTGTTGCTTATAGAGACTTTGTATGGTAACACAAACAGATTTTCTCCGTGTTTAGAGTATTTGGCTTCAGCTGTCATCTTCCAGTTGGAATTACATTTCATCAAGACACGATGGCTATCTCGGGATTTATCGTAACTCCATTTGTCAATTAGCGTCATCAGTATGTCTCCTGTGGGGGACACACATATACCAACAGGGATCAACGGAGCCGTGTGAAAAAGTTCAAACACGTGACCACTCGGATGATGTACTTGTTTGATGCACTTTGTGTGCGGGCTACATACAAGTAATGACCGATCTGCTAGTGCCGTCATTCCCAACAAATGCTTTGATCCGGACACATCGACCGTTCTCCTTATAACCCCGGAGTTACTAATCTGTTTGATTTCGTTAGCATTGTTATGTATTATCCAAGAATGACCACAATCTGAAGGACAAATTGCAGTGGGAGTTGATGTGGCATGCTGAAAGGTCGACAGAATCACACCAGCTTCATCTTGTGACGCGACCTTTGAACTTGTCCTTCTCACTGGAGTATTCCTCTGTGGTGTAAATACTAGCCCGCCATTTGCATCATGGGATATGGTCTTTGAACTTGTGCTCCTCTGAGCTGTTGTAGAATATTCTGACATCATTGAAGAGGTTCGTCTGGGCAGACTTTCATCGTCAAAGGAACACATTCGTGAAGCTGTCTTGCCTGGGGAGGGGTTTTCGATCGGGCTGAAACCTACTGAAAGCTTTTTTTGAGCTCTGTCTGGATTCAAGGCATCTGATAAAACCTTAGCTTCTCCAAGAGAATATCCTTTAATTCTTCGTTTGGAGGAGGCATATCTCTTTCTAATATTGGAGGGATCTGATATCTCGAGTGTTGGTGATGGTGCCGGACATGAGCTGGTTTCTGTATCGCCATGAGCTAACAAAGGGAATGCTGCCTTTTCAGTGATTTCTGGCCAGGAGTGAGAAACAGATTCACCAAGACTCGCCGAGCCTTCAGTTCGTTGTTTATGTTCTGCTGACACGGTGTTGTTTTCAAACTGCACATCATCAATATTTTTGGTAGATTCTAAACGACATTTCGACCCATTGACCTTTGAACTTTGTTGGTTCTCTCTGTGTTCCAGTGATTCTGACAAGAATGACTTCCTGATGTCTTCATGATCTTCCTCCCCAAACATCTGCTGGATGTACACACGATCTATAGCCTCTTGTTTCAGCGTTATCCGATCATTAGAGGGAACTTTGAAACACGGTAAAGATGGTGCTGCCAGATGTTTACCAGTTTCAATGATAAATTTGTGGTTAGAGGAATTCTCCAAGTGTGCCAATTCATTTTGAAATTTAAGAATGCTCTTAACCTTTTCTTCAACTTGCCTTTCAAACTCGTCAAATACTTTTGAAATACTGTCTGTACTGGCCTCATGTTGGTCTAATAATTTATCTGCAATCTCGTCAACAGCCTGCTTAAGGTGATCTCGCCTCCTTTCAATGTTTCGTCTTGTTTCCCCTGATTTTATCCTTTCTTTTTCTCTAAGAGTTGCACATGTTTTCAAGTCCAATTTTACTTCCTTGAAACGTAGAACATTATCTGCCTTCTCTCTCCTTAATCGCTCCAGTACACCATGTGCTGTTGACTCGAAAGGTTCAGTGGTATGGCCCTTGTGTTCGTTCTCGATACATTGGCGACACACAAATGTATAATCACTGCACGTGGAACATACCATAGTATAGGCCAAATCTGAATGTACAGCACAGGTCTCCATCTTCATCAAAACGTACCTGGAGGCGAGATCACGATCTGTGTGTGTCAGCCATTTTGTGTTAATCCTCTTCCGTGTTATTATTTTTTAAAGTTCACTAGTCGTAGCGACAGGATTACCTGTTGGGAATACATACGGCTATAAATAGAAGTGAGACCTAACCGTAGGTGGGATTGTTAAGGCGGACTGTATTGGCGATAATGGAATGCTTAGTTTGTCATGGTCGAGTAAACACTCATACTGTTAGACGGGCTGTACCTGGGTCCCGTTGTCTGATGTGTATCAGATTTTAGTCAGGAAGGTTGTTTGAATTTTATTCAATATTAACCAATTAGTAATGTAATCGAACACGAGTACGGAGTATAGTACACTCCTTATCTTCTCGTCCATTTGTTCAATCACTCAAAGATAACTACATAACATTTGGATTCGAATTTGTTTGTTAAAAGATTTGTCATTTTAACTACAACTTAACGAATTATTTTAGTTCGGTCCCGCTGTTCAAAGCATGACTAGCTTAACGTCAGATTAAAATAAATCAATTCATTTGTATTATTGTCGGTAAAAATATAGATAAAATAAACAAAAATAATTAAATAAATAGATAAATAAAAACTGGTATTAGCAACTGTGTGAACAGGGATTTTATGTCATTAAATGAAGACAAAATAACTAAATAGTTTGTATTTAAAGACGTTCCTAAAGGAAAATCCCATTTTGTCAACCAATCGTCTCGTTTAACTAATAAGGTTCAAAACCTGACTACTGTACATTGTAATGTATCTGAGGAAACAAATAAACTTGTTAAACTTGAATAGTATAAATTCTACTGGTTGTTATGAGACATTGACTTTTCCAAAAGTGTAACCATGCATTCAATGGAAATTGCATTATTTTCGTTTAATTATTAGTTATTATGTCCTCGCTGAAGAGGTATTTTGAAGAGGTAATCGTCCACTATTTATATATATTGCAGAGAGTAAAATTAGAAAATTTGTGGAATACTATTTTTACTGATGTTGTAAATATGTATGAACGATTAAAAAAAAATAAAAAAATAAGAATTTGCAAAATGCATAAAAACCATGTAAAAGGATTTCTTTTTCGATTTGATATATTCTTAAACTGATTTTAAGTATTCAAATTCCCTAATATATGTAATTATATATTTTCGCATTTTTTTTTTATTGTTGCGATAAAATGTTGAATTACGATCATACAAGACCAATTTATTTACAACAAATTGTAAGTGTAAAGATGAGCTCCAATAGTATGTATAAAAAGCACTACGTATAACGTTTTTCAATTCACCGACAATCGGTCCCTTTGTCTTGACGAACCGATTAGTCGGCACGAAAATAGTAAAATTAGCCTCAACCCTAAAATACATAAGGCATTTGGTCCAAACTACACAATGTATACACATTGGGTCAGGTGATCAACTGCTGTATCTAAGGGGAACGGCTTTTGGCACGTACACAAACATAGTAGCATCACGATTTATCGTTCGGAGTTTGGATACGATAAATGCGGAATGGTTGTAACTATGCATTTACCGCTGTAATTATAAGTCCACAGCTAAAATTGAGCACAAAGTACTGAACATCATAAATAAACATTAAACATGTATATCAGATATCATCTTTGGAGTTAAAAATCTGTCAGCGTATGGTTATCTCATCTATATACTACAAAAGGTGAGTTTCAAAAACTGACCGGCGTTGTTTTTCTTGGAAGATATCTACATTTGTGTTGATAAAAGAGTGCAAGCGTTACCATTCCTGGTCATTTTACCTTAATTAATGTAATCAGATATTCAGACTTGATACTAGTACGTAGTTTTTCTTAGTACAACAATTCGGGGCGTCATACAGAAACTCGAGAATAAACACATAGGAATGTATTTTAAATATTTTACATGGTAAACAAACATAACATATGTGCACACTTACATGCACATAATTACACCTACCTATGCTAGTTAAGAGTATCTCCCATTTATTATATGGATGTGCTCATGTGCAAAACGTCATATATGTTTGTTGTAACTCAGTTATTGATGTTATTCCAGATTACAGAAATCAAACATCAGAGGAAGATATAACGCTTAGTTTCCACGGAAATAATTAGGAATCGATTTCGCTGATTAGTTAATATTACTGAGAGGGGGTTAAGGTGGAAAACCTATTTTCTAGAAATTGATTTATGCCACAATATGTCACTTTACATACTCCAGAAACAATATGACTTGGATATATTCATTGAGTAATACATTGACCATACGAAATATCGTTATGTCATACAAAAGTTGCATATACTTCCCTGAAAATTATATTATCTTAATAGTGTATTACAGCCATTATGTATAAATCATGTTTCCTTTTTCATGAGAAAGTTACATTGTATCATCATTTTATTTACTAGTAAGTAGTATTTATATACTAGTATATTGCAATAGTTGTCTAACAATTAAAAACAGCTTCAAAACATACAGTAACCGTTTGTTTCAGAATTGTAAAACACATTTCATCAAAATTATCAAACGAACATCCATATCTTCATTAGAGTACGACAAACAAGTGTACCCTGAGCCAGTTAACGAAGCCAATATCAGGTATGTCCACCGTTATAAGTGATGCATACGTTTCGCCGACGCCAGATGGATCCGACAAAATTGTTGCAAAATGCATGGAGAATGCCGTTCCAGATGCGAAGTAACGTACGGGAAAACGTTTCAGGCTGATTTTGTAGTTTAAGTAGCCGACGTTGCATCTTGTCCCATATATGGTCGGTAAGCTAAAAGTCAGGTGATACTGCAGGCCATGGCAATACATTCACATTCTGCCGAGTCAGGAAAACAGTCACAATGCGTGCAACGTCTAACGTTGTAATTTTGCAGCGTAACGTAATGTTGTTACTCAAACTGGATGACGTGATATTGCAGTATTGCAGTATTGTGAACTGTTAAAGCTGCATTTTGGAAGCGGTTCCGCAAGTGTAAAACCCGGATGTAGTGTCCTGACATAATGCCGTCAAACGAGGTCGCCTTGACCAAGGGCGATCCCTGGTGTTAACAGACTGTTGAAAACGTCTTCATTAAGGCATGGATTGTGTTCAGCAATAACGCTTTGATCAACACAAGCCTGCATTATTCCAACCGTCTGGATGCAAACATTTTCATTCAGTCTAGGCATAGCTCACCAAACACTTTCACCAGGGATTTTTTGTTTTTTTCGTTTGTCGTAAATGTAAATATTTATATACAGCAGTAGATTGTCAAACTTTCTTTTGCGAAATTCGGCTCGTGCATAAAGAAAAAAGAACGCACATGCACAAAACGCATTCATTTTTGAATGTTGTTAAGAAATGAACACATGCTATTTGTGTAAATTTCATGTTGAAGAAATAATATAACTATGTATATTTTATATTTATGTACGCACAGTTTTTTTGTCCGTTAGTATATACGTTGCAACATGACCTGAATTGTTTTCAATTCGTTTTGGACGATTTAAACTGAAACAATAATAAAATGGAATTGATTTCATCCAAATCAATTGCTTTACTTACGAAATAAACTTCAATTTACCACTTAAACCTCTTGTTAAGGTTTCATATGTTGTCTCGAAAATTATTACAAAAATACCCTCATTTTCTAGTTGTATTGTTTATTGAGATATATTGTGATATTCCTTACATATTGTAATATATTGCAACATATTTTCCCACTATCAACCCTTTCTATTAAAAGGCAATACATAAATAGCATTAAAAGATGACTCAACGTGTTACCTGTCGACTTATTAATCGCTGTTATATTTACGCATGGTGTATCAGATTAATCTAGTGTCCTGTAACCTTAGTTTACGTCAGCTTAGAAATATGTTAGGTATTTTAAAGGTTGTCGTAGGTTTTTCCTACTTTCGGTTTATGTCATTGATACATATTCTTCCTGGTGTATGTTTCAGTAACGCATGGTGTGAGTACATAACTGTCTGTTTCTTTAAGGACCCCTGTCCCACTGCTATACACAGTAACCTTGCTTTAATTTACTCCCGTTGTAATATAACTGTAGGGCCAGGGCACTTCCGTTGGCCAGGTAGCTCAATTGGTTGGAGCGTTTGTGTAACAATCTGAAGTCCAGGGTTCGAATCCCGATTTAGCCCCGCTGAATTTCTTCCTATCAGATGACTGTTATTGATTGTATTTTGCGTTTTTCATATTTACAAGGTATTGTTTTCTTTTCAGAAACAGATTCTAACACTCAGCACTTTTTTGTGTTTTGTTTTACTAATATAAATATAAAATATGATAAAAAACAACAAGACGTAAATCTGCACCTACATATTTGCCCATGTTAACAAAAGTTTTGTTTTGCACTAATATAAGCTTGTTCTGTCCGTAATAGGCCGTCAATTAATCATAATCACTATATAACAGTACCTTTGGGATATATGTGAATGTATTGGGAAAATTACCTTTGTAATTAGCCGGACTCATATTCATATTTATTGAACCAAACTTTCTGGAAAACACCAGGCTACTGCCACGATGAAAAAAAAGAACACTGGCTTTTCTACCTTCAAATTGTTATGGGTCACACAATGTATGGCACTTACTCCAAAACGTACATATGTTCATACACATTTACACATATAATTCTTAGCAACAAAAAGAAAAGATATTCACATATATATATTGCAGAAATAGAATCATGGAATTCCTCAGTTATTTTACATGTTTCATTTCTCCTGTGAATGATATTTCAGTTTATTGGATTTAGGTATTCACACTGAGAAACTACTGTAAAATCATATATATTCGTGGGGTTAAAATTTCGACCATTTCGTGGGGATATGAATTCGTGGATAAAGAACGGCACAAATTACCTTCATGTATGAACTTTTCACTTTTCATTATTTCGTGGACATTTGAATTCGTGGATAAAGAGAACCCACGAAATAAACGAAAATTAACCCCACGAAAATTATTGAATTTCCTAAAGTATACAATTTTCAGGGATGTTCGTACGAATAGCGGTAAATCCGCTACTAATATAACTATGTGAATGACATCTTTAAAAAACACACTTATGCAGACCTTTAGTTTATCAATAATCTACAATAATTAGAACAGGCAGACTACGTAAGATGTTCATGATAATTTAACCATTTTGAATCCATGGATACTTAAATCGAAGCTGTATCTGAAATGAATTGATTGCTTCAGATTTTTTTTTTTTTTAAATTCGGTGCATGTTCCCGTCAGAAAACATAAGTACCCTCGTTATAATAGCTACCATTATCAGCCATACGTAATTTTGCGTTATTAAGTAAATTGGTAATATATCGAGTTAAATCAATAGTAAACATAACAGGCGACATTCATTATTTTTAATGAATTATGAAAAGTCAAATTTTATAATTGTGCAGAACTGCATCTTTTTAAACAATTATCAACTACAACATCTATTTACAGACCTGACATTTTGGAAGTGAAACATTTGTTTATAAAAATGACATTTTGAAAGGGAAAACAATTGGATAGAAAACCTCATTGTTAATGTGTAAGAAACAAGATTTACACTGTGACCGTTGATAAATTATAAATATCTGCTTTTAAATATTTGATAAATAAGTTATAAATGGTGCGTTTTGATGACAATTACAATGTTTTTCAACAAAAACTAAATTGAATGATTATATTTGCCTCATTTTCTGTGAAGGTTTGTCGTAAGGTATTCATATTCCTGATATCTGATATACATGTATAAAGACGTTTTTACTTTTGTCCAATGAATTCCACCAATGATCTTTGCGCGGAGGCATCGTGTTCACACGAAACCGTCCTTTCTCGGGTAAACATTTAACTCATTGAATAGTCTAGTGTAATTAGGACGAGGAGTCGATGTACTTCCTCCATATTCCATTTTAAAACCGCTGCCTTTTGTCTGTGCGGAATAAACATTTGGCGGTAAACGCGATTCTGGCGCCTCAGTAGGGGCATTGGAATGACGAATCAATGAAGATCTCCCTCCCACGTATCTTTTCCGTATTGATTTGTCTTCCCTTCTCTGACTGTGAGATTGCTGTGTACGAGATATGGTATCGCGTTTGCTATTGTGAGGATTGTGATGTCGTGTTCCAGTAAGGGATCTGTTGGGGGGACCATATCCTGGCGCTAGTGTCAAGAGTTCCAAAATCCAGTGAAACATTTGGATGATCTATCTGAGACTGTCTCCTCGAAACCCATACATTTCCATCCGATTCCGCTTCTTGACTATCAATAATACCACCAAGTTGCTCTGATTCATTAGGGAACAGATCCGTCGTTAATATGCTGTCGGTTTCACCGTCTTCTATCCCGTCAAAACAATGCAATATGTACGAACCCCTTATAACTTCTTCTAGTTCCTCTCCAAATAGTTCTCTAAGGAGTCCGCGATCAAAGGTCATTGTACGCGTCAATATGTGTCTGGTGACAGCGGGAATCGGACAAAGAGATTTGGAAATGTTAGGAAAATACATTTGTTTACCAAATTTAATCACGTGTTGATAGTCTGTTGAAGTTTCCAGCATCGCCAATTTACTTTGAAATTCAAGAAAGTTTCTCACCTTGTCTTCTGCCTGTTGTTTCCCATATAGCATCCATATATGCGTTCATAATTCTTTTGTCGGACGATTCCTGTTTTTCTAGCAGTATTTCAGCGGCTTCATCAATGGCCAGTTTCAACAGTTCACGTCTGTTGATGTACTGCCTTGTATTTTCCGAAATCTTTCTTCATTTTCTTGAATAGTAGCATAATTCTTCAAGTCGACATGTATCTCTTTCAGATTTGTTGTTATGTTCGCTTTCTCTGTCCTTAATCTATCCAAGACAGTTTTTGCCGCAGTTTCAAATGTTTCTAGGTCGTGTCCTTTGTGTTTCTTAGCGAGGCACTCACAACATACCAACTGGTATCTTTTATCACAGGAGTAACACACCATAACATAACTTATTGATCACACTGAAGTTGAAATGTTTGTATAGAAATTAAATATTTCCTTGTTTCTATTGAAATAGTTATGTATGTAATGACAGGGTAGGTTAACAACAAGAGCATTTAATATGTAGTCGTGTAAAGGCATGATTTGAAATAGAGGCGTACACCACTCGTGATATATCCTGTCAAAACCGTTTATAGTGTTGTTGTAAATAAAATAACGGGAAATCCATATCAGGTTCCATCGTAGTCTTATGTGGTTTTATTTTCAAGAGAACCGTTGTCGTTTTGTATAAACAGCGATCTAAAGAGCGTTCCATTTGACAGTCGTAACAAACAACTGCGGGACATTTGTTGTTCATGGCGACCTAAATATAGATGAATAGTTAACTTTATATGTGAATGAATATACAGGCTAGTTTTTACATTTAAATACATAGTCATGGTACTGAAAAGCCTTGGCTTTTGTAATTAGAAAGACGAGAAAAAAACCTGACGGAATGTTCACCAATTTAAGAGGCGTTAACCAGCTCTTTTGATGATCAATCAATGTAAACAAAAAACACTGATTTCCATAGCCTGCGTAATAAAGCAGCTTTTATATATAGCCAAATCCTCCTGACAATACCACCTCTTTATAATTGAAATGGACAACACCTGTCAATAACTAATATATTTATCTATCACTATAAATGTAACAACTTCCTATGGATACCTCCTGTCCAACCGGTCATTACAATTGTGAGTAGGTATAACGTGTTTGTGTCCTAACAACTGTTTACATATACCACCTACCTGTACCTAACCTATGTCTATAACACCTCTTAATATCTAAAAACCGTCTATAGAAAACACTTGTAAACACAACTCTTTTAACATAGCACCGGCTGTTTCATAGCAAATTATTATCAATACGACATGTCTTCTATAAATTAAAGATCCCCATACAAGAGAAAAAAACGTGTGATTTTTTCTGGCATGACTATATCTTTGATAAATCATGTCTGAAAAGAAAGGAAAAACTTACGGGACTTTTATAAGAAACAATAAAGATGAAATAGATAAAATATAGTCAACAATAGCATTCTGAGTGTAAAATTATCAGTGTGGCCAGACCGAGATTCGAACATTGTTTAACTTCAGATTGTTATAATATATCTAACCGGTTGAGCCAGCTGGTCAACGGAAGTGTCTTAGCCCAAATGTGCTACAGTTATAGGAAGTGAAAGGTATGTTACTATCTATAAGAAAACACACAGTGTAGTGGAGCAGGGATCCTTAATGGACCATTCATCAAAAAATATACCAACTGCTTATAAATACTAACTACAACCGTCTATTATCACAATATGTCTTCTTTTACTGCAAGCTGTCTATACATACCACAGGTGTAAAGTAACTACATGTCCATAAATACCAAGTGTGTAACTGCATATTGTCAATAGTTACCGAATGTCTATGATTACCACACATCTATAGATTATTACCTCCAGTCTATATATACCACCCGATATAGCTAATATCTGTATATAACAACCACTTGGATTTTATTACCGCTTATACATAACTCCCATATGACATTATTGATTTATTTATTTCATTTCTATATATCGATGACAACTCTAAATATATATATATAAATATATAGAATTATTGATAAATATACTACTGTACCTACCTATAAATGCTAATAAGACCATTGCTAGTTTGTAAAACTCGTGGTGAAACATTTATATTCATAACATTTCATTATATATGTTACTATTTATAAATGAAATAGAGCAGTTTTATTTCATGGTGTCAAATTTCTCAGTTTTGTTAATGGAAATTTTTTGCAAAGTTAAATTTTCACGGAGCACTTAAAAATAAATCGATCTTACTCTCTTTCTCTCTCTCAAAATCCCAATGGATTTACGTCCGTTGTATTAAGTGTCTTTTTATCTACAAGATCACTTTTCGGTAGTTACAAAAACTGACACATCCACGAATGAATCATACTGTAACATTTAATTAACACCATTCATTACTAATAATAGCATGTTAGGCATGAATGACTGACAAAATAGAAATACTTCATTTCAATACTAGATATACATTTAAGGAAATAATCAACCTGGACATAATTACCAGTATTTGGTGTTTTATTATTAGTTATGCTTGGATTATTGACAACGGTGAACCCACCGTGCAAACAATTTGACGGCGTAAACGATATGCCGTTGTATAATTCCATTTGTTGTTTCACTCATACTATGTATAAGAGACTTTAACGTAAACATAACTACACATAATATTCCTCGGATATTTTTGATTGAAGAACCGATTTACTTTGATGTGTACATGTTTTGATAGCGAAATTGTCCGAGACATGACTTATGTTTTCCTCCGGTAATTGGATTGTCTTTGGTTCACGTTCAGATGTACGAGCGGTCGATGCTTGTGGTTCTAGTTTCTTGCCTTGAGGTACAGAGAATACAAACGTTTCTCCAAAAACATTTGGGTATGCAACTCCATATGTCTCAGGGTTACGTGATCTTGTTGTGTGGTTGTCGTTTGGTGTCATGGGGCTAGTGTGAGGGATTTCTTGTCTATGGGAAGCATTTGGATGATCTATCTGACGATTCCCCACATTTCCATCCGATTCTGCATCTTGACTATCAACACTATCATCTTCGTGTTCTGCCATCTCTTCCTCAAATAAATCCGTTGTAGATATGCTTTCCGTGTCACTCCCCTCTTTCCCTTCGAAACAATGCAATATGTACGAACCCCTTATATCTTGTTGTAATTCCTCTCCAAATAGTTCTCTAACGAGTCTGCGATCAACGGTCTTTTGACACCTCAATGTATGTCTGGTGACTGCGGGAATCGGACAAAGGGTTTTGGAAATGTTAGGAAAAAACATTTGTTTACCAACTTGAATCACCTGTTGGTAGTCTGTTGAAGTTTCCAGCATTGCCAATTTACTTTGAAATTCAAGAAAGTTTCTCACCTTGTCTTCTGCCTGTTGTTTCCCATAAAGTAATGCGTCCATAATCTTTTTGTCGGACGATTCCTGTTTTTCTAGCAGTATTTCAGCGGCTTCATCAATGGCCAGTTTCAACAGTTCACGTCTTCTGTTGATGTACTGCCTTGTGTTTTCCGAAATCTTTCTTTCATTTTCTTGAATAGTAGCATAATTCTTCAAGTCGACATGTATCTCTTTCAGATTTGTTGATATTTTTGCTTTCTCTGTCCTCAATCTGTCCAAGACAGTTTTTGCCGCAGTTTCAAATGTTTCTAGGTCGTGTCCTTTGTGTTTCCTGGCGATACACTCACAGCATACCAATGAGTAACATTTATCACACGAGTAACATACCATTACAAAAGGCTGTCCATGATGTTCAGAACATGTCGCCATCCCAAAAGTGAATAGATTCTCAACTGTCTCGTTACAACAACTGAATTATCTACGTGTTAATCTTATATCAAACTTCCGTGTTCAGAATCTATTCTTAGCGCCACCTCATGATGACATAGGTTTTTAAAGGTCAATAACTGGTCCATTTATTATGGAAACCTGTTACTTGAAATTATTGTTTCTCTCGAATTCACTACACTACGTCTCCGGGACACGAATCAGCATTGCTGTAATTACCAGGTTGCTATGTGGAATCGCAAAGTACGAAATATTTAACTCAGAACTACGACATGTTTAACTCGAAAGCATATTTCAATTGCCACTCAAATGCTTCCTTATATTACCTGTTGATAACGATTAAGGTCACTGAAATCAATATCCTGCACAAATAACATATATGTAGTGACTTGAACGTACAATTTTTATCTATTTCTCAAATCTATTTTTAACCAGTATGAAAATTTGTTATCTGAAGTATACTAGATTGCTGATATTCGGTATTCTAATGTATTGTTGTCTATTTTTAAGTTGATATGCTTTAAATTGATTAAAAAAATTAAGGAACACTACCGTAAGATAAACGAAGCAATCTCGTTACATTTAAATACGCTTTAAAATGTCATCCGCCATATTGATTATTGTTGGTGATTTAGTGAAGGGGTTCTTCACGTCGAGGCAAAGTTATTTAATCCAATACATATACATACAACAATAAACTGTTATTTTACCTTATCAACTGAAGAACATGAATGATGGAGCAACAGACGGTATTTGCTTGACTGCATGTAAACATTCAAAGAGTAAATAAAAATGTCAGAAATAATATTTAAACTTTAAGGTTTCTATGTAACAGTTTATAGTTTTGTTTTCTAAAGTTTGTATTCTAAAAATTGTACAACTACCTGACTACTTTTTTCTCTATTAGTATTGATGATTTTACTAACTTGATATTGACGCTATACAGTAAACAACGGCCCCGGTCGGTACGAAACCTGACCTTAACTAGAAAAGTAGGACAATGCGTAAAACGCGCGAAACGAACGCATTATGACATTAGAAAATTCTCTGCGTCATCTTTTCAGACCTATTTAGATTGACGCTACGGAAATTAAAAGGACAATAAATATGGCTATCATACAGCCGGACCTCATTCAGTATGAACAATGGATGGAATACAGAAAAAGATGATGAATTCTCTTGTTAACAGTGATTGGAATGGAATTGAGGCGAATGCTTCAGATCTCCTAGCGGACAGAGACTCAATATGTAAACTCTAACTTCAATAACACAACTTCAAATTCTACACGGGGTGTTTAGTTGGACGACTGAGTAGTTCGTTGTACCAGACAGTTAAAGGTTTAATTGAAGAGATCAACTATCTAATAATTAACTACTAATATCAGAGTCGGTACTCTATGTTAGAAATTATACCAATTAAAAAATTTCCTTTTTTTTGTCTGCAATTAAAAAAATTAAACTTAAAAATTCTGACCTGTATATTTCATTGAATTATTTATTTAGCTCCACTCTCACATTTCTATTTAATTCTTCCTACATTTTCATTAACTATGATAAACTATGTCAAAATGAAAACATGATTCATCTCTTAAAATCTCATCTTATCATATATATGTACTTATATATGTACATATATATGTAATATAGATACATACATTTATCATTTTCAGCCATCCTGTTTGCCTAATCATACATATAACCACATGTTTATCATATACCCATTTCCATGTTCTTGGTTTTTTGGTTCCTTCCCTAATATAACACATTCCAGGAATTACGTAAAGAAAAATACGGTTTGCTGTAACGATAATGAGTAATCAGAATACGATGCCAATGAACATGTGCTTTTCCAAGATATTTGTTCTATATTTATATTTACGCCAGTGAAATTACGTTAAGCAATATCGAAAAATGATTTGATATTTTCTAATATCTATTTTAACCAATATCAGAATTATCTCTGCATTTCATCGTTCAGATTAAATTAATCACATAAAAAATAGTTTTAACAAATAATGTATTTAACGTAATTTAGTTCCAATTAATTCTTCTACAATAGAAATAGACGACTAGATGTTAAACCTGATCTGCTCCAAGTGGAACAGCAAGATGAACACACCTGCAGTCCTAGGAGCTTCACAGTATTCAGCCACGTGACCTGTGGCATCTGCGGGACTGACTCTGGTAGAGTTTGTGCTAGGACAGCTCAAACATCCAGTTTATGTAAGAGTTCAAAGAATGCGATTGAAATAAAAGATACATTTCAGAAACTACCGTACAGAATATAATGGAACCTATAGTTCCGTCAAATTTCAAATGCCACAATGTGGAAATAAGTACATCTTCTCGATGGAACCGCCACCATACTGCAGTACTTAGATAGAGATACGTGTGTATAAATAAGGTGTACGACAAGACATTTATAAGATAACACTTCGGCAGCTCATTGATATATGAAATCAATGTTAAGTCCTGACAATTTCTCCTGTATCACCGCATCAAATAATTCGTTTTGTGAAACTGTCAATTCGTTCTTCCAGTCACCGACGAATCCTGTGGAAGATAACGAAAAAAATAGTTAATGTTGAAACTTTCTGCATCTTCGAACTGTCTGTACCTTAACGTCAAGATATAGATGGTGTGTTAACTACTCTACTTGGTAAATGCTTTTAAATCAATATTATTTACTGACGAGTTCGTTCAAATATTCTGTGAAACGATCAAATTGTTTCCCGTTACAATTGATTTATTTCTAAAAGAAATACAGTTTTTTAATTCTTTAATACTCATCGGGTTGTATATAATTATATTATTGATCGAGAAAATATTGTAGGACAACCTAGAGTTTTTCTAATTGTTTGCCTCCGGTTAAACAGGGATCCTTTAGGTTTACCATATCACAGCCAATAAATACCAAAACAGCATTAGAAACTGCAGGACTACAGATATGATAAATCCTTTTGAAAAGGAGAAATATACCTTAAAGGACTTTTATAAAAAAAAAAAAAGGAAGATAAAATAAAATAAAATGTAAACAACAACAGTGTTGTGAGTGATTTTTGTTTTAGCGGGGCCAGACCTGGAATCGAACACTTGAGATCGGGTTGTAATACCGTCACTGTAATTAACTGAATTGCCAGCTCACCAGTAGTTCCCTGGTCCAACTGCGCTATAGTTATATCCAAAACTTAATTACGATTCACTAATGTTTTGCTCACATTGGGACAATGATCCTTTAGGACACTCATGCTGTGGTAGCAGTATACAGTAGAAATGGCCCGACTCTTATAAACAAGGCACATGTCGAGGAAATGTAAACACAGCGGATTTACCCTACACAACACATGTATACATGCATATATATTTGTAAACTGCATTACATTTACAATACGTATAAAGTACTGAGAAGTGTATAAACCTCTTTTTTCTATGTATGTCACTTGTGTGAAAACCATGGTTACCACATCAAAAATTACCAAAAAAATGCCAAAAATTGCCATTTTGAACCCAAAATTTGACCCCCGCAACTAGTAATTTTTTTCCTAAGCTCTGTCTGAAATTAAAGATTACCTACCTGCTTGAAGAATTATCTGGGTCCCAGTAAAGTTGTAAAACTTGATTTTCTGCAATTTTGCGTCGTGTGCTGTTGTCAAAATTTTACCTCCTGTAAAGCTAGCTTTCATGTGTACGCACCCTTTCGGATTATGGCCAAAATTTTATTCTCGAACCAAAAAAATCTTCTTTCTTTTTTACAAATGTGAAGCTCACATAGCCCACTTCATCATGCTTATACCAATTTTAGTACAGTTTTATTTTTATATTTTTTTTACTTATCATTATACAGGGGTTAGCCATTTAACAAAAATATCACCCATAGACACAACCCTCTACTGTATACTGCTACCTGTATTTCACAAGGTGGAAAGTATCACTTATCAGGTGAACTGATTTTAGCTTGTCCGTTTAATCTTATAACTTGAAATATGAATATTACTACCACAATTGAATTGCTTGATCGTTATGTCATCATGAGATATATTTATGTTTCTGCTATGAAATGAGTAAAATGATGAAGTCTCTGTTAAAACCAAGAGCTCGCAAAGTATGCAACAAACAAAGGGGTATTACTTCATTAAAGCTTAAGGCGATAATGTGATTCATCTCTTTATCATTGATACGGATATCGCGTTTGATTAAATTACTTCAAGTTTTTCCTATTACTGACCGACCTTTTGTCGACCGTCCTCACACATGTCTGCCCATCGATCAGTTGCCCCAGCCGCTGTTGCGTGGTCCGCCTTCAGTTTATCAAACGTAGTATTTGTCACAACGCTGCGGAGTAAGTCATCGTCGTAATCTATTTCCAGAAATTTAGCAAGCTTCTCAATTTCTCCGTATGTGTCCTGTGGAAGAAATGAAGATCAAAAATGAAATTGTCATTTCTATGTTAAATCTGATTTGAACGTAAACATCAATTCAGGGAAATTGATATAATGTATTTGCTGTTTTTATAGCACTGCCACATGTGTCATAGATACACTTGATGGTGAGCTATTGCACATCATGAGAAGTTTATCTAACATATGTGGAAGTCATACCAGATGGTCTGGAACATCGTGCAGTGTGTAACTTCAATCCTCCCTCCCTTTTCTAAGTCTATGACCCCCGAAGACACAACTATTTACAACCATGGTTCGGGTATCCCCTTGCCAAGCATACACCAATTGCTTGAAAAAAGGGTTGGTCACAGGCACCACTATAACAGGAGAGGTAAAATTCACGGTCAGACCGGAGTTCGAACCCGGGACCTTCCGAAATCTAGACGGACACTATATCAATTGAGCTATCTGGTCGCCGACGATCGACACAATCCAGTTCCGCTACAAGTGTAACGCTTTTATTTTCGTATATTTTATTTATACAAATGCAATTAAGATGTTTCCCCTTGCAACTAGGATGTTTTCCCCTGCAAAATGTCTGGCTGCTGAAAAACACAATCAACTTAAATAGGCATCGATGGAACTGCTAGGGATAATTTTAAACAGTGTTTTATAGAGAATGTTTCACGAGTTCGCAGTCATACAATGGTAGAAGTCTGGCGCGTAGCTACCTATACGTAGGAATGCAGGTGAATCCACTAATTTAACTTTTAAAAATCACTGCTCGCAGCGTATAGAATGTGTCACCAGTAATTCTATAATGCGCATATCAAATCCAATGTTGCAGAATGTCTTTGATCATAGAGTTTGTATATTTGATTGGTAACCCCAGAACCTTTTTTGAGTATCAGTCTATAATAGATATTTCCAACTGATATTTTGTTAAAGAAAAGCTTTTAATCCACACTGCAAAATTTGACGATCTGATATGTTCACTATGTCGTAAATCAATGTTGACGACAAACTTTCTGGGTTAGACGGGAAACATAATGTCGGTGCCTGATTTGGAGTTTTAGCTTAATAGGAAAATATGGAAAGTTTCCCTACCTTTTTCAACTCCTCGTACATAATAGTATGAACTTGCAAAGCTGTATTTGATGTTATTCCGTCTGTCCATTCCTTGGTACAAGTAAACCAGGACCCTCCTGATCCAAAGACTGTCAATCAAAATGCATGGAATTGTGTAATCAAGTGACACTTCGTCTTACTATTTTTAGAATGGCTTTGCCGATAACGATTCATGCTGAACTACTGTATAAACTTAAACATTGAAGTTATTTATAATAGCATGTAATCATTCATCATTAGTTGGAAATTGTGTCTAAAAATTGGTATATTGATAATTTGATTGCTTTGCTATATAGATAAGATGTAATGTGTCAAATATAAAATAATGGTCCTTTTCATATTTTACTTACATTCATTCGAAAGGAATTTTCTCAAAAATCCGTCTGCATTGCCTTTATAGTAACGACTCGACAGTGCATTGTTGAAGTACTTGTAAGAGGCAAAAACGTCCTTCGGATTCCTCACTACATACACAACCTTTCCTACACCACGTTTGATGGATGATGGTAGTATATCATAGGTCAGGTGTGTAACGATGGTCCTGGGGTGATTCAGACTGTCTAGCTTACTTTTGTCATGGAATTCCAATAAACCATGCTCACCATTGTAGCTCATGGTACCGTATCGTAACATAGTGATTATGTTAAAAACCCAGTGTGTTCCTGGAAAAAAAGACACCGAAAGGAATTTAGTGTTTTTGAAAGTTTTTACAGTAAAATAACGTCATGCCTACGATTGAAATGGTTAACGTCATAATAAAGTCATCGCTGATTGGTGTTGTAGCTAACAGGCATCATACCTTTAAATACATTTAGGTTTTTGTATAATAAGGGTGAAATAAGAAATAGATTTGTAATTCACTTCCGGTGTAATAAGAGAAAATCACGTTTCATTTGGATCCGCGTGGAATAACGACAGTAAAATCCTAATTTTGCCAAAAAGAGGTTATGATCCCCCATCTTAAATCCAGAGATCCAAACATTTAAATATCCATTAAGCATACCTCTATGTAATACTCCTTAAAGTGTGAACTTAGTCAGCATGGTAGAGCAAATTTGATAGACCGATATGTCTCAGCCAATGAAAGGGGGGAGGGGCGGGGGCCACGGCAACGTGTAATGTCCGATCGGAGAATAACTCGTGTGAAGATTCAAACTTATCCGGCGATTAATTTCTGGGAAACTCTCGGATTGGAAAAAGCAGGTAAAGAAGTGCGTCCTATTTTTTTTTTGCTTGAGTACATACTAATGAAAGCTTTTCATGATTTACCAACAAATAAAAGAAATGTAGCAGATCAATAATGTTAATGTTTGACGTTTTAACCCGTGTGTTATATCGATATGTAGTATAGCCTTGTTATAGTGACGCAATAACTATAGCTGTTGTCCAGCGTAACCTGTTCATGTACATAATGGATGTCTAATAGACGTTACATGACGTTTGACGTCTTATATTCCGCATATCCACATATCCGCCGACATCTATCCCCAATCTTGTCATCGCCTGCTCCTTTTATTTAAAGCCCTTCTATATGCTGATAGACTTTGAACTACCTGCAGAGGTCCAGCAATATATCTTAGTATAACCTGTGATGAAGTAAGTCACCTGTATGCATGCTTAAGTTTATAAGCGAAGTTTGTGAAACAATACTGTGTGTGTCGATTGTTTTTTTATCTGTTTCAGAATTGCAACTGTAACCTTGTTTGTTTTCTTATTGTTGTTTGTTCTAAATGATCATCAAAATATCACAATCGAACCCTTTTTGATGAATCCTCAGTTGGCTATCTAGGAAAATAACCAAACAAAAACATCACTAATATTTTGTTTGCATGCAGTTTACAAAATCTATTGTGAAATCATAATTGAATAATATTCTGTTTAAATAATTTGAGAACAACAAACCGGATTAAGGGAACGTGCAGAGAAACACATCATCTTCTTTAAAGTCATAGTTCTCCAGCATCTGTAGTTGATCCCTGACATTACCGATAACGTCTGGAAAGAACGGTCTTCCGTTGTATTTCTTATATTTGTAATAGTTCCCCTGTTCATCTGTAACCTCTATGAGTTCCATCTTAATTGCTAGCTGTTCATACGCACGACAATGTATATATAAAACAATATTCGAATACCGATTATTCATAAGCATAATCCAAACACGTGACAGATGCAGCACATGATACGTTTGTGTTATTCATAAAGTCAGGTAGGATGGCGACTGCTTGTTCTAAACATATTAAAGCCCTGGTATAAGAATCCCCGTACCACTGCCAAAAAATGTGACTTGTTTTTTCCCCGGCTTGAGTATTGCTTTGATTAACAATTCCTGAACAGAAAGCCATACATTGCGGGATTTTATGAAAGAAAGACAAATTTTAGATATTTTTTTTTGTTTTTTCAATAACAGTGTTCTGAGTGTGTATTATTTGGCGTGGGTAGACTAGGATTCAAACCCTGGACATCAAACAGTTATACTGTCGCTCTAACTGACCTGGCCCAATAATTTCTTTCTTCAATATTGGGATCGAACATTTGTTTTTCATCATGTTTTCTCGTTGACAATATTGAATGAGAATGTTTTATAGTCGGCTAAGATTTTTAATTTACATAAATATTGTATAGCAATCTGGTGGGACATTATCATATTTCGTAATTATTGCTATGTAACATATACCTATTTCTAAGGCCGAATTTCTAGTGTTCCATTGGGTTTTATCTGTAGATACATGTAATTGTCATGAATCGGGGAATGAAAACAACAAAACAGTTTAATACTAGTCGTGGTTTTTATCTTATTTTTTTAATTTAACAAAATAAAAGAAAAGAAAATGAAATATGAGAAACGGTCAGTTGGTTCTTCCAATCACCAATTATTCCTGTGGATTATAATGGTAACAGTGTTATGACGTCATCAACATCAACGTCATAGTTATTCAACATGTTTGTCAAGATGGATGTGACATAGAGGTCCAGTGACATTTAATCCCTGACGATGGGCTAAGCCCCAAAGCTTGGAAAAGAGTGACTTACAAGTTCTGTTGTATCGCCGAACCAAACAATTCATTTTGTTACATAGTCAAGTTGTTCTCCCAGTCATCAATGATTCCTACAAATAATATTAACTTTTCTTAGATGGATAATGTTAAGGTTTGTATACAGGAGTCGAGTGTGCTTATTCCTGTTATATTTTCAACTACAACATGCATGGCGTAAATAAAATATAAGACAACGCAGTACAGAAAAAAAGTGTAAAAGAATAAACAAATATTACAAATGAATATGAGGACATCGAATCAAAATTACAAGTAGAGGCTGAGAATCAAATTGATGCGGATTTATCCAATTTTGTTATCTTTATAATAACCAAAATATGTTCTGTCCTTTCCGATACACCGGAAGTCGACCTTCCTCAGCCATAACCGTCCAACGTTCAGTAACGACAGCCTCTGTGGCGTGATTTGCTTTCGGTCGATCAAATGAAACATCACAACGTTGCTGAGGAAACTTTCATCTCATTCAACGACCAGAAACTTGGCAAGTCTCCCTATCTCTTCACATAAGATAAACGTAGGTTAGAATTCGTATCCAAATATATTTTCTCATAATTACATATACTATTTAGAATGCAATTCGCAAGTATTGAAAAAATGTCAAAATTACCAATGTTGAACCTACATTAATCTTATGTGAAGAGATAGGGAGACTTCCCATTTATTCCAAATCGCCGTTAACTTGTTCAATTGTTACTTCAAGATAAATGTAATACGTCAATGTCTCGAATCTTATCAGTAATTATCTGTTTCTTCTGAGATGAGGTTTGTTAATGAAGTCAGGCTAATCTAAATATAATTAATTAATTTGGGTATTGTTGAAGGTCAAAAGTTATCATTTAGAACAGTAAAATAGAAAACAACTATATTCCAGAGCATAAAACAATTTAAAACATATATATCTTAGACATATATTGACCTCTTCTAGCTAGAATTTGGTTACTAGTGCATTAAATTTGTAATACAGTTACGCTGGCTACAATAATAACATTTTTTTTAGTTTTACTTTGAAATTTTTATGATTACCTACACAATAAATGATAACGTCCTGGACAGTAAGACGTCAAAAATAACATGACCTCCTAGACCAGACTTCACTACAACATAGATATAACCAACTGTAAGCTATGATAGAGAAGATATGGAACACCTAAGCTGTAGGGTAGTCTGGTATATAGCATCATGGTATTTATGATGCCGTACTTACTATGACGTAACACTATCGAGTTATCATTTGTTATGTGTGTCAAATAGGGTTAGTGCTCCTCAGAAGATATACAGATCAGCTACTGCTATTCATTGCCACAATGTACATGACAAAAAACCCATCCAATTCATATATTTACGTTACAGTAAACTACAATATAAAAAGTTACAACACTTTTTGTAAATGTATTATTTTTGATATTAGTATCGGACAGAAAACCATAAAAAGGAACAGCCAGAACTCCAGCCTGCACACACACTTCAAAGTGTTCAACTTTCGCCGATAAGCTGATTTTGTTGTTCAAAACGAAAAATATTGATCTCTCCAAAACTTGATATTCCTTTCATTTTTGAAAGTTCATATTTGATAACGTTTGGGTTTTTTTCCCCTTTAAACGCCGCAAGTTTTATGTTTCAAAAATTTAATATCTGCACTATTTTAAATCATCGTAACCATCCAGGACACCCGTCGGCAGTAGGCATTGAACTCATTTGAAGTTAAATGTACTGCCGTTGAATATACTATTTGCCAAAAAAAACTGCAATTGCAAATGGTGATAAATTTATGGATGAAGTGCCCTGCGTCATTACAAAGTTCTCTGGGTTTAAGGTGCAAGTTGATGTCACGGGGATTTTACCAAGTCAGACGTTTGGGTGTAAGAAAGTTCGTGACCACGAGGAACCGATTGCGAGTCGGAAGTCAGTATTAAGTGTGACAATGTTATAAATATTTGTATTTAATTTCAAATTTTAAAAAATATAAAAATAAAATTAGTAGAAACGGTACAATGTGTAGTAATATTTGTCATTGTGTGTGAAATCAGTTGACCGGTTGCACGAGATAGTGTATTCATGGTCTAATGGCAGTTGTTTCAAGTTGGTAGATTCATGTACAGAACAAACATCAAGAATGTAAATTTATTTAAAGTCATAGTTCTCCAGCATCTATAGCTGATCCCTGACATTGCCGATAACTTCTAGAAAGAACGGTCTTTCATTGTATTTCTTATACTTATAATAGTTCCCCTGTCCATTTGTCACCTCTATGAGTTCCATAAGTGGCCGCTAAAAAGTACGAGCGATGAGAAAATTGTTCGAACGACAAACACTGAAAATACTGTATGATTAAATAGTTATCATCTATTTACTACTACCTTATATTTTTCTCAATTTAAAAAAGTCAGCTAAACACTATGTTTTCCAAACGACTTCTAAGTCTCTCACCTCTATGAGTTCCATTTTGTTAGTTTAACGTCCTATTAACAGCGGACCTGAAGCCGACTTTATAGCGATATCTCACTTTAATGCCATACCGAAGGCACCAAGCACAACATTCCGCCTGGTCACATTATACTGACACCGGGTGAACCAGTTGTTGCCATTCCCCTTAATGCTGAACGTTAAGCAGGGAATAACAACTTCCATTTTGAAGGACTATGGTAGGTCCCGGCCTGGGGACAAAACCCATTGCCTTCCTCTATGTAACCAAGCAAATAACCAGACAGCAAAGGGTAGTTTTTGGCGGGAAGTTTTTAGATCTGAAAAATATTACGACAGGTGTTCCGCAGGGCCTTTATTATTTCTTGTTTACATAAACGATATTATTATTAATCTAAGATGTAAAGTTAAACTTTTTGCAGACAATACATCTCTTAACATAATAGTGGGCGATCCCAAGGCTAGAAATATGTTGAATAATGATTTTAATACTATTCAAGAATGGGCTGATAAATGGCTGGTAACTTTTAATCCAAACAAAACCGAAAGTTTACTTATTAGTTGTAAAGTTTTGAAACCTGACCATGGTGATCTTTACCTAAATAATAGTGTTATTTCTGAAGTGTCTAGTCACAAAAATCTTGGTGTTTGGTTTTCGTCAAATCATTCATGGCATGTACATATACATCATATGATAGAATCTGATTCAAAACGTCTAAATGTATTAAGAAAATTGAAATAAAACTTGATAGAAGTTCTTTACAAATATTTTCATTTTATCATTTATTAGACCAATTCTGGAATACGCCGGCATAGGGAAAATGCAGAAATATTCATTTCCGTGCAGAACTTTATCGTCAACAGCAGCAGATTTTAATGGCTATTGCATATCGAAATTAGTTTTCCTTTACACCACTGAGGTAACTATTTCTATGTGATTCCCTAGGAATCTTTATCAATCAATTTTCTTTTTATTCTTTACTAAGTAACAGCTCGTTGTCAATGTCTTTTACTACCAATCAAATAATGTAACAGACATTTAAAAATCTTACCCCGATGGTTGAGATTTTTCTGTCTTACTCCTTAAGTGGGGAATGATTAGTTTTCTCCCACATCAAATACAAGTTGTAATTTCAAGAAAAAACAAATGTTGGTTTTATAATTTCAAGCAAATCAGAGTTATCTTCCGTGATCAGTTTTTGTTGACGTGACGTGATTGCATTGTTGACGTGACGGCAATGCATTGTTGACGTCATAACATGCAATTGTTACGACAGGGAAATCCCCCGTCTTTACCCTCGGGTAGGATTATTAAAATCGATATTGTAAAATCAAAGGAAGAACCACTCAGACACTTCCACATTATATTTTTTCAAACCCCTAAGCGGCGCGAAGCGCCGCAAGTGTTTGTTCTCTAAACACTTTGTCCACTTCTTGTGCTTCCCTTTCCATGAAAGCCTTCTGGGAAATTGAGGCCGCATACAATCAAAAAAAATACGGTAGTAAACCCCTGTGATATACTGTTTATTATATTATAATATCATGAATTCTCCATTTGATAAAAACATATATTCAATGAAGTGAAGATATATGAAATATTCTTTATCATCTATATTCTACTTTATACCACCTACCGGTAACATGATACATTCATTATCATTGGTTGTCAGTATGAGAAGAAGTTGAAAACGACTTGAGAAGAACTTAAGAACGAATTTTCAAATTCTCCAGCACTTGGGAACGTATTTTTCTCAAAAAAGAACGTCTGCTCGCGCAAGATGACGTCCACACAAAAGTGATCCGCGTAAGAAAATAGTCTGTCATAAACATATCAATACAAAGTAAAGGAAAAATATTGTGAGAACACCATCTCAGGTGTAAACGTGCATATGAAAAAGCCAATGACGATAGGATTGTTTTCAAAAATATTTTATCTACGTTGTTTTATGGGTCATTGTATTCCTCCTCGCAAGACTTCGAGTGGCCTCTCGATTTAATCCACGTGCTGGCGATGAGAAAATTGTTCTCGCGACAAACACTGAAAATACAGTGTGATAATCTTTAATTCTTCACATTTGAAGTAAAGATATCATCCTAAATATTGTCCAATCAAAACGGCACATTCTAGATCTATACATGCTCTGCGTAGATTTCCAGTTTCAAGTTAAGATGAAGCGACGGCAGATATAGTGGTTGTGTGGTTCCATCTTTGCAGCATACATTATGGTATTTACATTAATACAAACTTTGTATCATTTCTGTTTGGAAATCCTATCATTTAAGATCAGCAAACTGCAGAATTGCAGTGAGGAAACAATTCAAAATTGCGCTCTTAATTGTTGTCAAGTGAGACGTCATTTGAACTTGGCGTCAAAGATTACGCTACAAATTCTCGTGCTTTTCTGATGTAGGAATATTTGCGTAGCACGACGTGAAAAATATAGTAAATAGAAAAAAATACGATATATATATATATATTCCCCTCGTACAAAACGAATATGGGATAACAACAAACAAAAACTAGCGTTGTGGCAAAATGTATCTTCATAGCAGACTCGATAGGCTATAACTTCTTTGACAAGTACATAATATATATTAATGCCATTAATATCCAAAGAATACATTTAAGAGTGCGTGATCTGTTCCTCGTGCTTTTTGGACTGTCAGTAAGTGATATTCATAAAAATATCTGGTGTCCAGCAGCTTTACTGCATTAAATATATTAAATATATTTATACTATTCTATAGTTGTTGTGAACAATGGGCGCTCGTCAGTCAGGAAACTATAGTTTCTGTGCATAATGGGCGCTCGTCAGTCATGCTACTATAGTTTCTGTGTACAGTGGGCGCTCCTCAGTCAGGATACTACAGTTTCTGTGTACAGTAGGCGCTCATCAGTCAGGATTCTACAGTTTCTGTGTACAATAGGCGATATTCAGTCAGGATATTATAGTTTTTGTGTACAATGGGCGCTCGTCAGTCAAGACACTACAGTTTCTGTGTACAATGGACGCTAGTCAGAATGGAAATCCCCCGTCTTTACTCTTAGTCAGGATGATTAAAATCGATATTGTAAGATCAATAAAAAAAGCACCCGGACACTTCCTTATTTTATTTTTTAATTTATATTTATTTACGATGAATATTACAAAACAAATCAAATATTATTCCAACTTTAAATGCTAGATAACAAGGTATCTAATGGTACCGAGAAGCCAGTGGGTCATCTCCTCTGTCGTGTGCCGCCCGTTTGTCTACAATATTGAATTAGGTGAGTAATATTGATATAAACGGATTTAATGCATGCTATAGACATTCAGAAATGTAAAATGTGTACAAGCTAAGACTTGAAGGAGAACCTTCGAAATGCTATTTCTTTCATTATTCAATACACATTCAAACACGCGTTCGGTAACTTTAACTAGGCCATTCCTTCCTTATCCTTATAAAAAGACAATTTTATTTTTTCCTTCTATAAATTTTGATTTTCATTTGGTGGTGATCATTATGATATCCTAAGTATTTTAGATTAAAGTCAGACGCTTGCAGCAGCTTCTTGACGGTCTTACAGAGAGCAGTTTGCAGATGAGGATACATTCTCGTATTTGATTAATAACAATCTTGGCTGTGGATAATTTAATCATCAATTCGCCAGTACAAAAAAAAATCAACTACAATTATATAACTTACTTTGATCTGTTAAAACCTCTTTTGCTGCCGTTATATCCAAAAACATTTTCTCTGCTTTTAGTTTATCGTCTCCTTTGAATTTATCCGGGTGCCATACCTTGGCGAGATTTTATAAACTTTTAATACATCTTCGTAACTTGCAGATCTAAAAACAGACATAATTCGAAAGCTATACAGTCTGATACTGTGTATAAGCAGTATCAAATCTTATATTCATTTTCGCATAAACTCTCTAAAAGAAACGATCCAATGAAAATTATCGGCACCCTTCTTAAACGAGAAATGTTTACGGAGAGTGCCGTTGGTTCTCGATTGCTTCCGAGGTATTATCTCATTAACGGAAAGTGCCGACGATTTCATATTGGCAACAATCGCTAAATCGAGTATTTCGTGAACATTATTCAATAGATATTAAAGTTATATGTAAATCACTCAAATTCACGAATATCATTATTTTTGCGATTGTGATTTCAGCAACCTATTGGCAAGGATTTTAGTTCGCAAAGTGAACACTACTAGTTATCAATCGCTTCGTTGAATGTAACTGAATACTGTTAACGAGATGGTTGACTTATGAGTTAAATGCACAATTTAATAAAAGTGGTAAACATGTCACACTGTCCTCGTTAGTACAATATATACAGTAGAAAATAAATGTGGATCTTTAGATAAACTCGTACTACACCATTGATTATCTATAAAAACATGTGATACACTTATTTGAATGTCATAAAAATGGAATAATTATCTTAAACTTCTTTAAGTTGAAAAATCATATTATATGTATTTTTTATCAGTTATATAGGGATTCATTTTGGAAGCACTGATACAGTATAATGTATTATTATATATGCACATTTATAAATGTTTAGGGACTTACCTATTTAGGCCCAAAATTCTATAATAGTCTTTTTTCTCTCTGATATTTTCAAAAGTTGTTTCGCCTTTTTCAATCCGCCAATCACATGTGTATTAGCTTCGGTTCTCGACTTGATATACAAGTAATCAGTCACCGCTGAAAAAAATATTTTTCTTGAAATAAAAAAGAACTCCGATGCATCAATACCATTAATAATCAAAAACAGGTCGGATCGTGAATTCTTTACGAGGGTTGTATGGTTGACTTTTTTGGCGTGTTTCCTTTTCGAGATTTTAACCTGGACCTAATAAAAACAGTTTGAACCAAACTGAGTTTTTTATAATCAGACATCTAGTAAAGTTACTGTTGGCACAAAAAAAGAGACGCCAAATCAAAAGGAAAGACGCTCTAAACTGCCACACGTAAAAGAGGATACGAACCACGGAAAGTCTCCGAAAGGAAAAATCATTTTATTTACCTTGGTTAAGTTTTTCATTTATAATTTCCATGGCTATGTCTGCTCTGTCGATTCTGACTTGAATGTTATCGGAATTTATCGCAAGGACAAAGTCACAAGCTGCCAAGGCGGTCATCAGGTCCGTCTAATAGAAATAAATCAAATTGAATAATTTGTACAATTCTTAAAATTACAAAACATATACTCATCCAGTTGTACATGTGCGAGCTTACGCTAGGTAGGTATCACATCATTTATACAATATTGATTAAAAAATGATTGAATATTCTGTTTGTTCACAATGACACAGGAAAGGGTTGCCAATTTAACCGGTAGATCACAATGACACAGAAAATATTTATTAGATTAACCGGTAGATCACAATGACACAGAAAGGATTTACTAAACTAACCAGAACATCACAATGACACAGTAAGGATTTACTTAATTAACCGGTACATCACAATGAAACAGGAAGGATTTACTAAACTAACCGGTAGATCACAATGACACAGAAAGGATTTACTAAACTAACCGGTAGATCACAACGACACAGAAAGGATTTACTTAACTCACCGGTAGATCACACTGACACCTGAAGTACTTGCTAAACTAACCGGTAGACCACAATGACACAGTAGGGATTTACTTAATTACCCGGTACATCACAATGAAACAGGAAGGAATTACTAAACTAACCGGTAGATCACAATGACACAGAAAGGATTTACAAAACTAACCAGAACACCACAATGACACAGTAAGGATTTACTAAACTAACCGGTAGATCACAATGACACAGAAAGGATTTACTCAACTCACCGGTAGATCACACTGACACCTGAAGTACTTGCTAAACTAACCGGTACCTCAAAATGAGACATAAAGTAGTTACTAAACTAACCGGTACCTAACAATGACACAGGAAAGAGTTGCAAAACTAACTGGTAGCTCGCCAACACTGACACAGTAAGGGTTTATTCAACTAACCGATAGCTCACACTGACACAAAAAGGGTTAACTAAACTAACCGGTACCTAACACTGACACAGGAAGGATTTACTAAACTAACCGGTAGCTAACACTAACACAGAAAGGATTAACTAAACTAACCGGTACATGTAGCTAACACTGAAACAGAAATGGTTTGCTAAACTAACCGGTAGCTAACACTGACACAGGAAGGATTAACTGAACTAACCGTTAGATCACAATAACACAGAAAGGGTTTTACTAAACTAACAGGTAGATCACACTGTCACAGAAAGTATTTTTTTAAACTAACTGGTAGATCACAATGACACGGGAAGGATTTACTAAACTAACAGGTAGATCACACTGTCACAGAAAGTATTTTTTAAAACTAACTGATAGATCACAATGACACGGGAAGGATTTACTAAACTTACCGGTAGATCACAATGACACAGAAAGGTTTTCTAAACTAACCGGTAGATCACACTGACACAGGAAGGACTTACTAAACTAATCGGTAAATCACACTGACACAGAAAGGACTTACTTAACTAAACGGTAGATCAAATTGACAAAGGAATGGTATACTAAACTAACCGGTAGCTAACACTGACACAGGAAGGATCTACTAAACTAGCCGGTTGATCACAATGACACAGGAAGGACTTGCTTGTCTTACCGGCAGATGACCTCAACACAGGAAGTACTTGCTAAACTGACTGGTAGATCAAACTTTTACATGAAGGACTTACTTAACTGATAGATGACTATTACACAGAGGACTCACTAATCTTACAGGTAGATGATATTGACAGAGGAATGAATTCTTTAACTTACCAGTAGATGACAGTGGCACAGGAAGGAGTTGGCCTTGGAGACGTAGTACTTAACAGTGGATTCTGTTTGAAGTATCTGTTGTGCCTTGCTAACACACTTTGCGTTGCGCATGTCGTTTTTGAATTGAGCAGCAGACTGCATTAGTCTTAACAACGTCTTCGTCTTTTTGTAGTGAACATAACACTCCTTGTGGTCAGGGTCTAGTTTTAAACATTCTTGTATTCGTCTACAAATTAATTTAAAAAATACATATTATATTGAAAAATTTAGAGAAGAAATTATATATAACATAGTGCAAAATATCTTGAAATATATAGATAGCGATTGATGTTTTCCGGTAATGATGACGGACTCGATATATTGTCTGAAATAGCTTGGACCTCTTGAATGACTTCAAATTCAAATATCAAACAATAACCACCAAGACAATTACATATGCATCAAAATTATTTTCAAAAAAGGCTTTTTCCCCGGATTCTATGGAATGACGAAAACACTGAGGTTGCAGTCTACGTGTAAGAATCATTGGGATGTTGAAATACTTACAGCAGCGATAAATCAAACTCAGCTTGAAGTAGGCTGGTGTCTTCAGACGTCGATGTCGAAGGGTGGCCTGGATGTCGGCGATAGCCTTTCCATGCTTGCCTTCATATAAATAACACTCTGCTCGAATCTCTCTCATAATAACATCCCAGGGACAAAACTAGAAAACAATATCTTACAATCAGTAACTTAAAAATTAGGTTGATACAATGGTAATCTAATATTAATCAGATTTCCCGAGGCTGGCTAATAATTATCTAATTATCTGACATTCAAAAATTTGAAATCAGCTAAATCTGAGGAAAGATTAATATGATACAGCGTATATAAGTCAAAAGCGGAATTTGAAATGAATTGGCTGTATTTCTATTGTCTGAAAGTAAAATACAAAATATCTATTATAGTGTCTTAAAAGCAATAACAGTAACTAAGAAGGCATTAAAACAAAATAGAAAAAAAGAATTATCTCCTAGCAGAGGTAAAACCATGCGTTCGTGGACGTTCCTATGTAACATTTGCCACTCTTCATGATTTTCCCCATCATATCCAGGAAAGCATGCAGGTCACCAATGATCTAAGCTAAAGACCTTTTAGCAACACGTAATTCGTAACCGGATCATCATGCAGATTTAAGACCAATACAAAATTGGATAATGAACGCACAATATGGCCTTACTAACCGTTAGTATTTGCTCCAGTGCCTCTCTACAACCGACATAGTCTTTCTGTTTGAATAGCAGTTTAGCAAACGGTATATTCTGTTTTAGGCCGTCGATTTCCTGGACTCTTAGTTTCACTTCTCTGTTGTACGGTTCCCTCTGAAGCTGGTCAAGGAAGAAAAATATAAGATCACTTACAAACAAACAAACAAAGACAAAGAAACTCAATTACTTGTGTATGCACAAAAATAAAATAAAAAGGAACTCATGATTTAATAAGAATAAGTTCGTGTAGTTTATTTAGTGAAAGGAGACAATCTTTTTTAATCCCGGGATATGTATATGTTGTTTTTTATTTTAATAACTGTGAAAAACCATTGATTTAAATTTATCTTCATTTTGAGCTTATGAACTGTATAAAAAAATGAATTTAAAAATGTGTTTTTTAACTATAACATAGCTTGCTACAACTAAATCCTTATGTTTGTCTAACTGTGCATATCAAGTGAAATGTGTAAAATACAGTGTTCAGATATTTTGCATTAATACTTGTAACAAATTCATAAAACAAAACTCACAACCAAGTTGAAGTCATCTCTCGCTGACAGCAAATCTCCAAGCTTCAGATATAAACTTCCTCTTTCCACTAATGCCTGTAAAGAAATTGGCATTATAACAGGTCTTACTATTTCAAAGACAACACAGCTTTTAACAAAGGAAAAACAATAGCCATGAAATAGTATAATAATATGACTTATCCATACCAACAACAACAATTTGAACATTTGTAAACAATTGTGTATCCGACTCAAACTGAAGTCAACGTTACTCTGCCCTCATTTTAGACAATGAAGCCGGTGTTCTTTGAATTTACTCACTTCACTGAAGACCGGATGTAACTCAAAAGCCTTGCTCAGAAACTTCAATGCACTTTTGGAGTCACCCAGGTTAATACAAACCATACCACATCGAAACTGGGACAAATGGTTGGAAGGATTTTCCTCTGAAACAAAAGTTATATGTGAATATAATGATATTCTTATTTAATTTTTACCATATTGAAAAACAATATTACAATGCACAGAACAGAATTATGTTCTGATGTTGCGAATAGTCGCTGAAAGGTGAAAGAAAGAAACACATACGAAAAATATTTTCGAAAAATATGGAAATAAAACATAATCAATATATAATTTGATAATGACACTATATTGTGCGAAATACATGATATATCTCGAGGTTCTTGTTGATTTTAAGTTACTGTTGGATTATATGGAAGACTACACGAGACAATAGACAAAACGAGGACAGGCTGGATTGGATTCATTCTAAAAGTGGTTTAAATCCATAAGGTCATTCAGAAAGAATAACCAGCTTGAAATTCAAAATAAAAGCGAAAAACATGTCTGTATTTCTTGACCCCTATCTCCAAACCTTATTCTAAACTCGGTATGAAATCCAACCTATACATTTCCCAATTTTTCGTAATGACATCTTTACACAGAAATTGCTGGGAGAATCATACCAAATACTCCAGAATAGTCGTCTGCTACACCAACGACATCTGACATGTAAGTATAGGCTAAGTTCGAGTAATGTCATGTCCTCAATGGGAGAATCGGGATAGTGACAACGAAACAAGAAAACACACAAATATACATACTAAAATCAGCCTTTATATTGCACAAGCAAATAGGATATATTCCAATTAGGTCATTATGGCAAACACAAACATCTCTTGAAACCCTGTGTTGTAAGATTGTTTGTTGTTTTAAGGTAACTTTACCACTCATGGTGCACAGAAATCATAGCAGCATATTCATTTGTACAGAGCTGTATTTACCCAATCCACGTTTGTACTGTGCCAGAGCGTCATCCAACTGTCCGGCGGCTTCTAACGACTGTCCTTTCTACATAAACCCATTCTCTTTAGTAGTCGATCCGAACCAACCTATGGTGGAATTCATTTACATGGTATTTAGACAATAGATATGACGTAATGGAATCGTGACGTCAAAAGCAATAGATTTAAAGTCAATAAAGAGACGTTCAATGTTGACGAGTATATGAGAAAATGAGTTTTTTTTTGCAAATATGTGCATCAATTATTGGTAATACCATGAAAAGTGTTCATTTTTGTATGATAATTAAGTTCGAAAAAAATAGTCAAACAATTGACAAGAGGAGTTTTGTCATAATCACAACATGTATATATATACCCGGATCTTTGTGCCTAAATGGTATAAAGTTAACAGTTAAAGCTGTTTGGTATTATACTTGGTAATCATGTACGTAGTGTGTCCAGTCTACTATGATGAACTAATTGAAGAGTAGAGTATGTAATCAGTACCTAACATAACTACAGGACAAACTTGTTTGGAATAAAATATGTATACTGCAGACATATTTTAGAAAGATTATGATAGCGATAGTTTTACACGTAAATGAAAGACTAGGACTGTAAAACATCAGCTTACATTATTGCTTCCCAAATATATTTTTTAATTGTATTGGACATTAGGCATTTGTCATATGTTAAGTTGATATCGATGCAATGGTTCAGAAGGATTTCATAATCAATTCTAACTTGATACTGATATAGTGTACAAAGTATCAAATAACTTTACCGAACTTGTGTTGACAGACATAGCGTTTTTGGATCAAATGAAGAAAATTGTTGCAGTTTGCAATGCTTTCATATATGTTTGGCCCTCTTGTCTCGACCCATTTGAATATTGGTTCCCACTTGAACAACATTGAATCTTTATTTTCTCTCTCGTATATCTAGTAGAAATCGCTGTCATGGTGTTTCCTCAGTATATAATAAAATAAGGCATTAAATCTAGGGTTCAATTGATATTGACACAAACAACTTTTTTATTACCTATGCAAGAGATAATTTCTAAATGTATAAAAATAAATAATAATCCAAGCTTTGACCAGGTCCTTCTGGCTCCCATGCAGTTACATAATGAGTAAAGTGTGTATATCATTAACCGAGCCACTACTCAGAGATAACTGCTATCAACGTTAATGCAAACCCCGGTGACTAAAAAATCCACTAGTAGGGTATAGCATGTAGGGACGACAGAACAAAATAAAAAATGTATAAAAGAAAAAACAAATCAAGTCTGTTTTTGTCTGAGGGAGTTCATTAAGTGTGTAATTTGTTGTAAGTTTCGTCAATTTTTGGTGCCGAATTCAATCGTAATAAGTAGAATTTTTAAACTTCTTTTCTACAGGTATGTGAAATGACATTCTTCAAAATGAGAGCAGGTGAACCAGTGTGGATATCTCCAATTAACCAGAACAGTGGTAAACGTTAACACTATCGTCTATGGAAAATCATTTGGTTCTGCGGTCCCTATACTTGTAAAGATATGGCGCCGGATCAAACAAAAAAAATAAAAAAATAAATTGTCCAAATGTTACGTCATATTCAAATCAGTAATTACAATATTTAAATTAGATTTTACCTCTTTTTTCGCAACGTCAGGAATATAAGTGCGACTAAACAATTCATACATTAAGGATTTTTATACGCCCACCTTCCCTCCTGTTTCCACAGTTTGTTAGATCTACTTGGCTTTCCAACATTTAACTCCTGGCATCGCTGATGAGTCCTAAAAGGACAAAACAGCTGTATAAAGCAGTGTATTTCCTGTATGGCACACTCTATCTAANACTGTCAAACGTTTTTAATTTTAAAAAAGGCATCTTATATGTAACAAAGGGGAAAATGGTAAGTTACATTTGACTAATGCACGAAATTGTATTTGACAAAGAATACCATTGCGTAGGGGAGATAACACTTACATTCACCTGACGGATGTAAGGAAAATGTTTCATCAAAACATAATTAATTTAAAATTCTAAAGAAATGTCATGTTATTTACTAAAATAGAGCTGTGATTTCTTAAACTTAATATTGTATTTGGATCCTTTCAATTGGTTTATGCACGGAATTATATTTGACGCAAAGCACGAGATATGCAAATGAGTCTACACCAAGGTTTCAGATTTCTAAAATTTCTTTATATGAAAGTGTGTTTGAGGGAGGAAGGTGGGCTATCACAATTGGCAGCACAAATCATTCAAAAGCCCACTATGTCCAAATGTTACCTCATATTCAAATCAGTAATTACAATATTTAAATTAGATTTTACCTTTTG